TGCAGTAGCTGATACTGCATGGATATAAAACCTGAGAACTTTCACTGTGTCATCACAGCATCCTCCATAACCACGGTTACACACCATCCTGCAGCCTGTGCTCAATCTGAGCAGCTGCCTGATATTGTGTGTGTGTGTGTGTGTGTCAGGCCCAGCTGCATGCTGTCTTCTCGTCCTTCGGTCCTGTGTACCTGTTGAAGGTGAGCCCTAACGCTCCGCTCCACCCTCCTGGTTTTTATGCCCTCATCAAGTTCTTCTCTGCGGCTCACGCCGCTGCAGCTCAGCGCATCACAGACGGACGCCCGCTGGTTGACGACTCGCCGCTGAAGGTGACGACATTTTCTTCCTCTTTGATGAACTTTGTGTGTTTTCCTGGAGCTCACCTGGCCGTATTTGTGGATTTTAGGTGAAGTTGAGCTCCAAGCAGACACCTCACTTCCTGTCTGGCAGCAGCAGAGTTCTGAGCCATGCACACTGTCTGGAACTGGCCAATCACGTCCTGGGATTCAACGGCTGGACCTCTGACATCATTACAGTAAGCACTGCATCGATGTATTCAGGTGAGCGAGTGAGAGCGCAGGTGACTCACTGTCTGTCTGTTTCAGCTGAAGAAGCTCACCAATGAAGAAGAAGGCGAAGAGGAGGAGGGGGGAGGGGCCGGGCAGAGGAGGCTGAAGTTCGGCTGCGTGCTGCAGCTCCGCTTCCCTCATCACGGACAGACGAGCAGAGGAGCTGCGGTGCTGGAGGACTGCTTCACCTGCACAGGTGAGGGCAGGGAGAGCCCGACACTTTGAACATTGCTGCCTGGTTATTCTGGTCTAAGGTGTGTGTGCGCGTGTGTTTCAGGTCCAGATGTGTTCCTGCAGAGGTGCTGCAGGCTGCAGAGGTTGGTCAGAGAGAAGGCTCTGGTTCAGGCCTTCAGCTCCGTGCTGCTCATACTTCTAGGTACTGCAGTACTCTAAATACTCTAAATACTGCCGTACCTGCAGCACTGACTCTGCTCACCTGTGTGTGTGTGTGTATGTGTGTGTGCGCGTGCGCAGGTAACGGGAAAGTGATGGTGGAGGTGAAACAGACCCCTGATCAGTTTTTAGCTGATGACACTGAAGGAGTCCTGCAGGTAATCTCACCTGTTGACTGTGTGTGTGGGAGGGTGGGTATGGGGGGTTAATGCCTTTAATTAAACCCTCACACAGGGTGTGTGTGTGTGTGTCAGGTGAACGAGTTTTCCTGGACAGAGGGTCCTGCTGATGAAGAGGAGGCTGACGATGCAGAGTGGGCTCTGACTGTGCCGTAGATCAGGACTGTGGGGGGGTGTGACGTGTTTCTGAGAGGAAAGCTTTCAGGTGTAGAAACAAAACAACGGCGCTCCCCGACGCGACGCTCCGGCTATACGAGGACGGGAAAACTGATCCTGAGATCCAGAAGCTCATGGCACACACACAGCTGTGAAACAGTACCGATCAGCTGTGCGTGTTGCTCTCGTCCTCTCTGCAGCAGTGAATCATGATTTTCCACACAGCTGTTTAGCGTTCCCTCATTATTTATGTTTTGGTTTGAGGTTTTATTTTGAATCGCCAGGCTGGATTTTCTTGTTGTTGTTGTTTCTTGTGTCAGTTTGATTCTTTTTAATAATTAGGATAAAAGATCTGAGAAATAAATAAAAGCACTGACTCAGTTTGTGGATGTCCATCAGAGAACTCTGACAATAACTCTTTATTGTCATTGCATGGTCCTACATGACAGTCAACACAACACCACACAGTAACTTAACTAAACTTAATAACATAAAGAATAAGTGTATGTGTATTGCACACTGTTATTATTGCACCTTGTTATAAATATAAATGTCGTTATTGTTGTTAGACACAATAACATAAGTATCTACTCAAAAAGTGGGAATTTAATGTGTTAACTGATTTGACAAAAATAACACATTTAATCACACTTTGCCTTCCAAGCAAAGACAAAAGGGGACCACTGCATGATTTCCTGATAAACCAGTTATACTGATGCACACATCAGAGCTATATTGCTAGGACTGATCAGAAAACGTTATCCCGACAGAAGTGGTGTTGTGCAGAAAGTGAGTTTGCATACCACCAAAGCACTTCAACCTTACGGTATCATCTGAATGCAAAACATGTTGCAGCGAGCACAGAAAATGTGGCAGCTGTTAGCAGCCTCAGCACCAACAAAAGGTGCTGGCAGTAGTGATGGGAATTCCGTCTCTTCAGAGAGCCGGCTCTTTCGGCTCCCAACTGGCTCTTCAGGTTCTTTTGTTGCTTTAATTAATTTATTATCAAGAACAATAAAAAATATGTACAAAAGGAATTCCTAATGTAAAAAAAAATCCTGGCTTTATCCATATATGTTTATTAGGGGTGGAACGATACACACAATTCACGGTTCGGTTCAATACTTTGGTGTCACGGTTCGATATTTTTTCGATACAATTTAATTTCTCATTTATGAAAATTATAAATATATATTTTAACTCAAAAGTACAGTTTTTAAATTGCTGAAATAACAAAGAAATAATAATAATAATAAATCTA